GAGGGAATATTTTATTTGGCCTTATGCACAAGGATGCTTTTGTCTGTACAATATACAGTAAATTAAGGGTGATTTTCCATGCATGGTAAGCTAAGGTATTGTGTACATCCACCCATAAAGATTAATGTCTATATGTAGCTGTACGTGGGTATATAATGGGGATCATGTGAACACAAATATAGCAAGTATGCAGCTAATAGCACTTGTGCTTTCCTCTCGAATTTTACTTTGTGCAGACAAAAGCATCTGTGTGTATGAGATATCTACAGTATATATATATATATATATATATACAGTAGATATATATATTTAAAAACTTTAACCCCTTCATGCTGACGTAACACAAATATGTGGCCTCACAGAACTGGGCTTTTTTGCGTATCAAGCAAATAAAACTACCCTGTTCAACTTGCCAGCCAGCTAACCAACAACAGTGGTCAGCAGCCCCAGTCTAAAATATCAAAAAAAGGGGGAGAAAAATACCCAGTTAAGCTTGCCAACCAGCTAGCCAACAACCAAATTAACCTAACAATATGTGTTTAAAAACAGGGGTTTAGTTAGCACACATTTGCAAATACATACGTAAACCACAGAGCCACGTCACGGCACCCCGTTATTCTGCGGTCCTAACTCTACAAATTTTGGGAGTCCCCATAGAAGAGGCACATGCATTTAATGGATAGACCAAGGGCAGGTGAACCTGAGGGAGCCCACCCCTCTTTAAAGGCATGGAAGCACACCAGATACCCAGCATATAGCACAATGGCATCCAGGGTATCCAGTGAACCCACTCACCTACAATACAGCATACAAAAAAGTGGTTACCGCCCCGGTCTATAACTGGGTTTTGCAGCAGTGAACATAGACAGGCACCGCATATCAAACAAATAAAACTACCCAGTTCAACTTGCCAGCCAGATAACCAACAATAGTGGTCAGCAGCCCCAGTCTAAAATTGGCTTTTATCAGCAAGGAACATGGACAGGTATCGCATATCAACAAAAGGGGGAGAAAATATCCAGTTCAACTTGCTAGATAACTTAGCCACTGTGCTGGCCCATATATAGACTTACAATATAATGTGATGAAATGAACTATATTAATTTGCTCTTTTTGTATTAATATCAGCACTTTATTCATTTAATGCATTGCTCATAAGGATTGGTGGGCTCTTTGATAATTTCTATGAAATTGCACATTTTTTTTTACACTTTGATAAGTTTGTTGCTTATATGTAGTACATACATTTTTTTTTACTACTAATCTATTTCTTTAAATATGCATCCCTCTGATTATATTCTTGCTGATATAGTTTTGCTAATATGCACAATTACTACCATCCCATTCCTGGCCACACATGCTGCATGTCTAGATAAGGGCCTGGTTTGAATTTCAATGGAACCCCATGCTGGTTTTCCTGTTTTTTATGTGTACTGTCTCTTTATTTTAAAAAAAAACCCATATCCAGGCATGCAGCCTGGGTGGACAGGAAAGGCAGGGAATCAAGGTCCCCTCTTGCCCCATATGAGGTAACATGCATCTCATCCCCACACTCCAACAGGCTGTTTTGGGGTTTGTGGGGGGGTGCTTATTCAATCCTATGGAACTCCCTATCCCAATCTGTCCGGCTATCTCCCAAGCTATCCACCTTTAGACGATCCCTGAAAACCTTTCTCTTTAAAGAAGCCTATCCTGCTTCTACCTAGTAAACTGCCATTTATTTCCTCCATCAGCTCATCCCCCCACAGCTATAACCTTTTCTATCACTTACCCCAACCCTTCCTCCTAGGTTGTAAGCTCTGAGGAGCAGGGCCCTCCTATCCCTCTTGTATTGAACTGTATTGTTGCTGTATTGTCTCCCGTTATATTGTAAAGCGCTGAGCAAACTGTCGGCGCTATATAAATCCTGTATTATAATAATAATAATAATAAATATACACACTGACACCTTAAGTTGGGTGCACACTGTGCGTTTTTGTTTTTTGTTTTTTTCGTTCAACCAGCAGGCTCAATTAAAAGAATACTCACAGATGCCTGCTTTCACACAAGCCATGTGGATACAAGGATCTCCCCTGCTATGCTATTGTATTCTGACAGTGGGGGGGCTTTCCCTCCTATCAGAATACACTGATCAGCACTGCAGCCATAGGCTGATGCCAAAATAAACATGAATATATATTATAAGTGTGCAATAGCTGTAATGGCTGATAAACATTAAAATCCATCTAGCTATTACAACTATATGACTTGTTTTTCTTTACTGGTTTTGCTTTTTTTATCTCATGTACACTTATGTTTCATGGTTTTCCCCAGTAAGCACTTAGGTATGATTGAGCCAGACTGGATTGTATTTGGCAAAGATCAGACCTATTTGTATATAGTAGATACAAATGAATATCAGCTTATTGATTTTTCTATACTGTATCCGTTTTACTGATTTAAACCACTGATTGTGGTTTTATTGTTATTATGTATTACTTTTATATATGAGTACAAGTTAGACAACAATTTAATGCTCCAGGTATGCTGTATAATATCTCCAGAGTTATAATATCCCAACCATAGTTGTGCATAGCTCTTGTTAAGCTAACACCAGACCATTAGACTGTCATTATTTAGCTAGCATTTCAAGTAATGCACCTCTCTCCACCCATTCTGTGAAGATGCATTAGTTTATATTATTTGGCTTAAATAGTTCCTAAAACTAAAAATAATGCGATAAATGTATTTAAAAAGGTTTATTTGAAATCTTATCGTATCTTAATAAATGTAATATGCAGTGTTTTCATCCATTTTAGCTTAGTTGTAGTATATTTTCTTTAGGTTTGTGCAATGACTAATGCAAACAGGCCAACTGATAGAGCTGGTTATGTAAATGAGTGGGCACATATCATGTTTATGTCCATCTCTAATTAACCAATCAGCTTAACATGGAGTTACCCTTATATGAAAACTTCAATTAACTGAATGTCTTTTAGCCATATGTTTCAGTTGGTGAGTGGAATGAAAAACAGTACATATTTGTACTACATAACAAATATACCAATGAACATTTGAAAGGTAAAAGAAAATCAATCTTTTGCTTTTTATGTTGATGGACTGCTGGAGACAATTGGAGAAAATAATAAAAAGTAAAACTACAATGATATAAAATGTTAGATGTCTCTTTTGTAACTATGAAAAATAGAATTGCTCCAATATTGCTTCTCCAAACTAATCTTTTCTATAATACATGTTTAGGTGTTGAAAGCTACCATTTATGACTTGTGCACTTTATGTTGTTTCTTTCCAAAATCTGAAAGCACTTACAGTTGTGATGAGGAGGATAATGGAATACATTTTCTGAATGTGAACGAGAACAGTAGCATAATCCTAAGAGTCCAAAGTCAGAACAAAAGTTATTGTTTGATCATGTTTTGTTAGTTAACACTATCCCCAGAATTATCCTATGCATTTTAGATAATGTGTTGTAAATGTCCAGTTCCACAGAAACCCACTTTAAAACTGAACATATTACAAGAATACCAATATATCAAAAAGTACATTGTATTTAGCATGAAGTAATACAATTGATTTTCTAAAAGCACCTGATGCTGATAGTAATAAGTGCTTTTAGTAAAAATACAGAACCTTGAAGAACATTTGCAGCAAAGTTTGCAGTGCAAGTTGCTAGTACCACAAATGTACTGAATCTGCAAATGAATCTACAATGTTCTTGGAAATGAATCTACAATTCTATTGTAAAATATAAATGTTGTGCGATATGCTCTTTTTTTATATTTTATGGCATAGCTGTTTTATGATAAAATGTAAAAAGATCCTGTCCTATTGCCCATTCAGGAAAATGTGACAGGGTCTGTGAAAAGCCAGCCTCCAGACCACTTTATACTTACTCTTCTGGTGCTGCCACATCACTTCTTCCTGTATTGCAGCTGCCGTAGAAATACCTGTTGTCGCTGGTGTTGGAGCTCAGAGGAAATGCTGACATAACCCTTCTGTCATGTGATAGTGCTCCTGCCTGGTAATTTATCACTAGGCCTAAGCAGTGCATCACATGCTCCTCCAAACCTGGAGGCAGCAGGTATATTGTAGTGCAAGGTAGGAAAAAGAAATGTTGTGAAAGGGATTATAAGGTGGCCTGGGGGTGGCCTTTAAGGACCCTATTATTTTGCCCTACGTAGGCAAAATTACAGGGTCTCTTTAAAGTGGAGTTCCAGCCATTTTTGTTTTTATTAAAAGTCAGCAGCTACAAAAACTGCAGCAAATGCAATATACTTTGAAAGTACAGTTGTTCCACAGCTTAGTAAATGAGGGCGCTGACTTCCATCATCCAATCAAGTACCAGCAAAAATGCATTTTTTTAAAATTTTCTTGCATGTGATTGGGTATTCTTTGTAAAGTGAAGCTTAACCTCATTTACTAAACTCTGGAGCAACTTGCAAAGTGCACAGTCTATTTGCCTTAAAGTATACATAAATGTAGGCAAAACTGTTATTTTTTTCTTTAATTTTGGATAGAATAAGGGAAGGTTTTAACCCTTTTAAATTTGTTTTGCCATCTGTGTCCCACTGGGGATATATACTTTCACTTTCTATCCCATAGCCAAAACATGAAGTGGGAGGAAGTCCCTACAAATTAAAGGAATCCCATGAGGCCCCCAGATCACCAGAACCCATTGTCCCTATCGGAAGATTTCCCCTCTATTACTTTTCAGGTGAAAACCCAAAATGTAAAATTTTCTTTTACTTTCACTTTCAATGATAATGGTAAACAGGACAAATAGAGAGGGTGAATCTCCGTAACAGGGCATAGACAGCAATAAAGAAAGACAGCAATAAAGAATTGACAAGTGTTTTAATCCGTCTCCACTCTATCCAAAACTAAAAAAAAATGTTTTGCCTTTAGTTTAACCACTTCCCTTCTGACCCATGTACATAAATGGCCAGACGGGAGCAGTGCAGGAGCAGGTTGTCATTTATAAATGGAGCCCACATTCACAGTCTGTGCGCACTCCCTAGCAGCGCACGGCACCTCGATCTGGTGCTCGCTGTGTCCGGAGGACACCGATCGCTGTACAGGACCTCTGTGTGAGGTCCCGATTCATGTGATCACTGATTGGCCAATCAGTGATCACATGAATAATAGTAAGCAAGATGTCATTTCCTTACATCATTGCTTACTACTTGTGAAATCTGTGAATGATCACAGAGGTCACATGGTACAAGGCTATTCACAACAGTCTTGTACCATGTGACAAGCTTTGACCAATCACAGCTCTCATCGTATTTCTCAATGGCTGCAAGAATGCAGTCAGAGAGAAGGAGAAATGATTGGTTTTACAGCCTTTATGGGTGTAAAAGCAATCAGTGTAAAAAAAAAAAAATCTTCACCACCCCCCACAAGTAGTACAGCGTCACTATGGTGACACTGTACTGCTAGGGTGACAGTATGTTAAAAAGAATTAAAAATGTAAAAACTAATTTTGAAAAATTATAATTTTTGGTTATAAACTAATTTGGGTTTTTTTTTTTTTACTAAAAAGATAACTGAATACATTTTGGTCAATATTTATGAAGAAAGATAATTTATTTGCAAAAACCCTTTTTTTTCAAAAATTTTGGACATTTTCATTTATATAGCAACAAAAGTAAAAATCCCAGTGGTAAATAAATACCACCAAAATAAATTTTTATCTGTCTCAAAAAAATGCTAAGAGAGCTTTGCAAGCGCAGTTGTACTCATTTTCCCCAGAGCTTAGTGAATGTGGTAAAGCTTCACTTTGTAAAGAAAACCCAAATCAAGTGCAATGAAAATAAAAAACAGCATTTTTGCTTGAACATGATTGGATGATGGAATGCAGCAAAAGTTTCCTCTTAGGAAAATTAGTGCAAATGCACTTGCAAAGTGCACAGTCCATTTGCCTTTATTAACCACTTCCCGTCCGGCCCATGTACATAAATGGCCAGAAGGGGGCATTGCAGGAGCAGGTGGCTGTTTATAAACGGCCTCCGCATTCCTTGCCTGTGCGTGCTCCCTCCACCAATCGCTGTACGGGACTTCTGTATGAGGTCCTGATCATGTGATCACTGATTGGCCAATCAGTGATCATATGAATAGTAGTAACCAAGATGGCGCTTGCTGACATCATTGCTTACTACTAGTGAAATCTGTGAATGATCACAGAGGTCACATGGTACAAGGCTATTCACAACAGCCTTGTACCATGTGACAAGCTGTGACCAATCACAGCTCGCACAGTATTTCTCAATGGCTGCAAGAATGCAGCCAGAGAGAAGGAGAAATAGTTGCTTTTATAGCCTTTGTTTTTTATAATCAGTGTAAAAAAAAAAAAAAAAATCTTCATCACCCCCCGCAAGTAGTACAGTGTCATGGTATGTACAACACTGTACTGCTAGGATGACAGTATGTTTTAAAAAAAAAATTTAAAAAACTTTTTAGAAAATTATAATTTTTGGTTATAAACTAATTTGGGTTATTTTTTTTTTACCAAAAAGATAGCTGAATACATTTTGGCCAAGATTTATGAAGAAAGATTATTTATTTGCAAAATTTTATAAGAAAAACACTTTTTTTTCAAAATGTTTGGACTTTTTAATCCATATAGCAAAAAAAAAAAAAATCCCAGTGGTGAATAAATGCCACCAAAATAAAGTTTTGTCTCAAAAAATGCTAAACAAATTCAGATGGGTATAGTATTGCATGACCGGGCAATTGTCATTCAAAGTGTGATAGCACTGAAAGTTGAAAATTGGCCTGGACAGGAAGGGGGTGAAATTGTCCGGAAGTGGTAAAGTAAATCAACCGCAATGATTCTGTGTTTTCTGTGTTTTCCATATGTAGGTTTCTATGCATTACTGTTGAGAGCCTGATCCAAAAAGGAGACTACATCAAACTGGCTATTATGTTTTACATTCCTTAAATATCCAATGCCTCGACCACTACTTATTTAACTCATGCATTTTTTTTACTTATTTATTTTCTTTTGTGAATTGACTTTAATGTCATTTTAGGCAGTATTTACATATAGTTTTTGGATATTGAGGTAAATATCACACAACGTTTAGATATTTAGGAAAAATGTGTCAGATCGCCTAAATACCACATGCGATCAACTTTAGTGAATGAAGACCATAGTAAAAAATAAAAAAGTTGTTGAAGTCCTTCATGGTTAACAAACCTCCAATGAAACTACCTAAGGTGATAGCATTTATTGGGGCCTAGGTCTACTAAAATAGTTTTAGGGTGGTATCGATGCTTGAAATAAAATAACCCACTTAGATTGCAAAGCTGTGATGAAGATCATATTTTCTATGGCTGGGGTTGTATAATTGGGCTTGTATCTTGTGCAGTTGGGGTTGTATCTTGCATTCCAGCTTGAGTTAGCATGCTTCTAAACCTCAAGGCAGTATCTGAAATAATTCCAGTTTCCAGTGGAACATTCTTATTGGCTCTTTTTTATTCATATCATTGGGGATTTCCAATATAGCCTACATATGTCCATAGATTTGAAAATGACAAATGACGAGATTCTAGAATATCTCATTACTTGATAGCTATCCGGTCCCATGGTTGCAAAGCAAATTAAAGGTAGTGCCTATTTATAATGATAATGTCTTTTGTCTTTAAAAAAAAGTGTTCCTTTTTCATTTTCAGATCTCCTGTAATATATTCAGGTTTCCAGATTTTGTATCCAACCATCTCAGACATAATAGCTCATATTTTAGTTTCTAGCAAAATATATTGCTAAGTGTTTACCTGTCATGTGTTGCTAGGTCACCCTCTGAATGACTTCATTATTTGCTAACAGCTCAGGGCATCCCTGACAACTAAATAAATAATTTGTTACATAGCTCTGTTATAGCATGACATTTCTGCCAATGGCTCTTGTTATGTTGTATTTATTTATAAGAACAAACTATTCAGGGTCATTCATACAATTCAGAGTTTAGTTTTTTGACCTTGTAAATAATTGATCATGTACATTTTCTGTCATTGATCTTAGTCTACAGGCCATGTTATAAACCCATATAATTATACCCCCTTATATATTCTTAAATTAACAAAAACTTTTTTTGATAGAGAGGGAGTGTAAGAGTGTGTGTGTTAGTGTCTGAAAACATGAGTAGGATAACAAGTCACCAAATGGTTAGGTGCCCACTCAAAAGCAACCAAAAGCCCTCCAATAAAGTACTGTGATGGAACGCCTGTCACCCCGATTGGGTGATTCTGTCAGAGAACTGCTTCCTCACCGCTGGGACCCAGGAACAAGGTATTATAGACGGGCATTGAACCCAAGATTAGATGAGACTAGCTTAGATGCCAAACTGGGACTCTTTATTGAACAGAAAGCACAGGTTTTCATACACTCTAGAAATAGGGGCAGTGCCCACAGGAACAATAAATAAATAGTATACATTATGATAAACATCCCACACTGATTAGATAAGGAGGTGAAGCTGACATCAGTCTAATCCTATCATGTAGGCACCTCCAGAAGGACTTGCCAACAGACAAACAATAGGTGACTCAATTAACTCAATTAACAATGGGAATGCACACCCAGGAGGCACACAATGGGAGAAGATAGGTAACACATAACACCTTAATAAACAGCTTAGAGCAAGAGTCCTCAGCATGAGGCTGTTTTGAGCTAATTATATCAACATCTTTTAAGAGTCTCTGAGTCTAGGAAGGAGTTGAGCACAGAGACCCCAAATCTGTATTCTGATCCTCCAGTTCTCAGAGTCTGTGTCTTTCGGGAAGACATGGATGTAATCCAAAATAAACTACTCCAAAGGTCCCCCCAGGCACCGACAAAAAAAAAAAGAGCCCCTCAGATGCCAGGGCCATGGATAGTAGGCAAGAGGCTAGCCTGCAGTCCTCTCCAAAAGACCCTGTCCCCGTTGGGTCTGTCATAAGAACTATATAGTGCAGTATTACCTTTCTAAAATAGAAAATATTTCCATCATCACTTGCAACAGAAATCCAGAAAAAGAGGAAATTATCACACATGCAAGTCATGTTTATGCTGTAGGGCCAGCTTGCATCTTTCCTACCACAGATACAGTCTAGTAACACTTGTACAGTTCTTTAAACTGACAGGAAGCTCTTCAAAATGTTTAGCCCCTGTTAGTTTAAAGCCCCAGTAAAGCTAAAATTCCTCCCTTGCAGCAGGGCTGCCCCTGCACTGCATGCGTTATATGCTTGTTTGTAATATATGGTTGTGACCCAAAATAAATTGACAGGCGCTGCTCAAGGCTCCACCGGGTCATCTTATTTAGCAATTGCTTAAAGTACAGACCAAGACAGAGCTTGTTCCAGGTCGAGACATATAATGGAAAAGTTTAATATCAAGTGTACTTAATTAGCATCCTATGTGTGACTATGACAACACATGCACCAAGGAGTGAAATTAATCCATATAATAGATATATCAAAAAGTCCCAAAGTGAGAAAATTTTAAAGCAAAGTCCTTTTATAATCCGTTTTATATGAAGAGTGTCCCCACACTTCAACTTCCTGTTGGACAAAGTGCTCATCCAACACCAAGTGACACCATTAGGTAGCCTCTTACCAGATGATGTGGACTATTAGGTTATAAATGGTCTTAAGTGCTGAGATATATCCTATAGGCAATGATTCTCCAGACATATAGACTGTCCACCATCAGGATCTCTCTTACAATATCAAGCTTCAACCATAAAAAGAGAAATGGTGCATGCTCATAATGTAGAATGTAAAAAATCCCATTTATTTAATATTTACACTTAAAAACACCAGAACAAAATTGCTAATGGCATTATACAATAAAACATGTGCATGGGCAGCAGATAAAACCATATACAGCAGGTAAACAACGGTAGCTTTCAAAGCTGCAGGCTCTGTTACCGTCCTGTGGTCCAGGATCCCGACAACATCATCTCTCTGACTAAATGCTTTGGGAGTGGATACAATGTGACGTTATCATATCATGCAAGCTCACCGACCAGAGCCTGGAGCCCAGGACAGTACCTCAGCCTGCTGCTTTGGAAGCTTTTGTTGTTTACCTGCTGTATCTTCCTCCAT